CTTTGTGTAATGTCCCAGTCCCACTCCCTCTTTTGGTAATAAATTAAGCCGTGTCCACTGCGCGGGTGAGGCGTGTCCCAAAAGCCCCCCTATCAAAGTTGCTTTTGGCCTTTCGAATGTCGCTATCGCACTGCCAAGATTACTCCTATCAAATTTAAAATTTTCGAATGTTTGCACCAAAGAGTTATTAATCTGCAATCGATTTAGGTGAATATTCTCTCCTTTTCCATGTAATACGCGGTACAGATAGATATAAGACCCCCACTTTCCGATAGGGTTTCAAATATCCCCTCTCATTGCCCTTCACTTCTCTTCTCAATTTATCAACCCATTTGGCGTATGCAGATTCTTGAATATTTTGAATCGGGGTTTTTGTGGGTTCAGTTTACAATTTTATTTTTTCTTGGCATAAATATAAGAAGTAAAAGATTCTTGAATATCAATATTTTCTGTTTCGGCAATCTTGAGTCTGGTTTCAAATTTTTGTATTATGGGTCTTTAAGAATTTGATATTTCCTAGTTTTCTATCAATTGTAATCCCAAGGGTCTGTTTGATTTTTATCACATTTTCTTGTACCTAGGGTTGTTGATTTGGCAAGAAGAGAATTAGTTTTTGCCCTTTTCTACTGTAATCGCGCTTTATTGAATTTTGGTTCTCACTTTTGAAGATTTTTTTGGAAATTGTATTTTTCACATGTAAACTAGGAAATGCCAGCGACAGATTATCAACAGACATCATCGCCAACATCATCTTTTCCAAGCTTAGGATTTTCCATTTTTAGCAGACGCCGTGATCAGGTCCATTCTATGGACCCTACTCATGAAGCCACTGGCCATGAAAATGAATTGGAAGCCTTCCAAAAACATGTGGCCGAGAGGTTTCATGAATTGTCAGCGGCAGACTCCAATGAGTTGCTCTCAATTCCTTGGATTCACAAGCTTTTAGATGCATTCCTCTGTTGCCAAGAGGAATTTGGTGTTATTGTTTACCAGAATCGAGGTTTCTTCAGTCGAGCCCCCATGGATCGATACATTTCCGAATTCTTTGAGAGAAATGTCAAGGCTTTAGATGTTTGTAATGCGATTCGTGATGGCATTGAACAGATCAGGCAATGGAAGAAGCAGTTGGAGATTGTTTTATGTGCATTGGACAATCAACAGAGCATTGGGGAAGGCCAATTTCGACGTGCTAAAAAGGCCCTGATTGATTTGGATATTGCAATGGTGGGCGAAAAAGAGTCGAATTCGACTCTTGCACATAGAAATCGATCCTTTAGACGAAGCGATGTGCAGAGGGAGCACAATTCTTCTGCCCATTTCCGATCCCTGTCGTGGAGCGTTTCCAGATCTTGGTCTGCTGCTAAGCAGTTGCAAGCAATTGGCAACAACTTGGTTGTGCCACGGACAAATGAGATTTCAGCCACTCAAGGACTAAACGTGGCTGTTTTTACCATGAATTACGTGCTTTTATTTGTGATGTGGGCGCTTGTGGCTGCAATCCCCTGTCAAGACCGCGGTCTTCAGACACATTTTTCTGTGACTAGGCAGTTTGTTTGGGCCATTCCGATTCTCTCACTCCACGAGAAGATTCTGGACGAGTCGAAGAAACGGGACAGGAGAAATGCTAGTGGATTGTTGAAGGAGATTCACGAGATTGAAAAATGCACGAGACGAATGAATGAATTGGCTGATTCTGTTCAATTCCCCTTGACTGAGGAAAACGAATGGGAAGTGAAGCAGAGAGTTCAGGAGTTTGGAATAGTGTTTAAAGCAGTAAAAGATGGTTTGGATCCATTAGAGCATCGGGTTAGAGAAGTGTTTCACAGGATTGTGAGCAGCAGAACTGAGTGTCTCGCTTCTATTGGACAAGCAAATAGTAACGATTGATACAATTTGGGCTACTTAAGAAAAGGTTGGAAGAAGTAAAGTCTTGTCTTTATCACAATGTTTTGTTTAAAGAAATCAGGAAAAGAATCTTACTTTCTGCTGTCCTTGTTATTTTATCGTTTTCTGTGAAATATAGTAATGATCAGTATCTCAAGTGAATTTTTCTTTGAAGATGTAGCCACTTCAATTCATGTTTATATATGTTTATGCTGCTAGATGGTGAACGGTACCAGTAGAAACTGAAGAACGCTCAATTTGAGGCCTATTTGCTGATCAAAAGTAGTAAACGAATTGAGGCAGGGCTTATGCTGCTACTGTATCATGTATGCTCTTGAACTGTTCGAATATTCATCAGCAATGGCTTTGTGTTCACTTCAAATTTGTTCCACGTCTTCACGAGGCTTGCATTTTATATGGATGGATCGTTATGGAGAAGTGCAGTGAATAGGTTGACAGCTGGTAAAAAACTTTGTCTAATCTTATGACATGAATACTTGTACACATAACACATATCATCGAGGCATACCTGATTAGCCATTCCTTGCATCAGATTCTGCTTATGGGGGTCTTTTCTAGCTAGCTTTACATTTATTGAAAACCGGGCTTTGTTATTGTTTGTTATATGTTTTGCTAAAGAGTGGTGCAATTGAGGCCTATTTGACATGATGAAATGAGACAAGCTTGTGCTGCTGTTCTATATTCTTGAAATGTTTGAATGGTGATCAAGAATAAAGCGGTTTTATCTAATAGCTTCATTTGTGCTGCCTTGTTTAGGCTTGCATTTGTATATCAATTTTTTCTATTGCCGAAGAACTATTATTCAGGTTATTACACGAAGTCATGGAATGGTCGCTAAACTTTACTTGCAGAAATTGACAGTAGGAACGAAGAAGAAATAAATCTAAAAACGGTTGCTTACATAGTAGGATGAGCATTTTTTTGTGTTACACTTCTCATTCTAGGTAACGCCCCACCCCAACCAACTACACAACCTACTTGGTAAGGTTATAGAAATAGTAAAATAATATGTTGAAGGGAAATTGTAGTCCCCTTGCAGATAACAAGAATTTTGATCCCTTGAAGTTGCTTTTCCAATCACTGTGATTTTCTCTCAATGTTATCTATGCTTATTTTTAACTCATTTTCTCAATCTATTTCAAGATGTGATCTGCATGGAAGAGGATTGTATTTTATTTTATTGTTTGGGTTGACTTTCAGCGTCGTATTGACTGGATCAATGTTTTGTGGTACCCATGTTCAGTTGAAATTAAAGGCTAAGATAAGCTATCCTCTTACAAGAATCTTTAGCACTCTGGTCAAATTCTACCTATCTTTGACTGAATAACAAGAATTTTTTTTTTTTTGTTTAGAATCATTGAACACGTTTAGTTCATATCAACAAAATGTCATAAAATGAGCTCAATTATTTTGACAGTTCTAGACTTTTGGAAATGCATTGTATTGTTCAACGATTATGTGATTATGTTTTGTTTATAATCTTAAAGAGATGGATATCGAGAATTCGATGTGCTATATGATCAGGGCTCATGTGGCCCTGGACAAGTATCTTTACCCATCGAGAATTTGGCACATATAATTTGTGTACGATGTTGTATGACTTAGAAAGTAAATAAAAATATTTTCGTATTATACTCATGACAAAAGAGCTTTTTTTTTCTTATTATTTTATTTTAACAGGAATGAAATAGTGAATCTCAAAGAAGAAGAAAAAAGATTGAAATTTCATAATTGAAATTTCATCACGCACTATCTTGTCCTATTTACTATATTGCGTACCAAATGGGATTTGCAAATTCAGTTTCTTCGCATGGTAGATTAATTCGAGTTAAATACTATGTTAGTCACCAAATTTTCAAAGCGTATCATTTTAGTCAACAAACTTTTCTAAAAATAAATTGAATCATAAAGTTATTTAAGACAAATCACTCCTCATGTACCGTTAGTAGATTTCACAATTTTGTTGAGACGTTTAATGACGTTGCTTTGTGATTGATGTTCGTGGTCAAATGACATCAATAAGCTCAAAGGACTTCTATTCTATATACAATTTTGCTTTTACAACGTTCATTTAAACATCTTAACGTTATTAAGTTTTAATTTAATTTATATGTTTATTATAGGAGAATATTCATGTGACTTAATTCTAACCGTGTTGTTATCTTAATTATTCGATACAAGTCTAGTGATGCAACACAACCAAATTCATTTAATCAAAATTTAATCAACTAATGAACACATGGTTATTTTGTTACTAGGTTTGCTGATATTTGTATGCTTGGTCAAGTCAATCTATTGGAACTTCATTATCAGCAAGTAATTTTATATCTTATTTTTGGGTTGACTGGATCTATATTTTGTGGTAACCATGTCTTTATATTTAATGAATTTAAGGATGAGATCAGCTGTCTCAAACAAGAAACCTTTGTACATTGGTCTAATGCTACATGTCTTTGTCTTGTAGACCCTCACAACAGGATTATTCTACTTTTTTTCTTTAGAAACATTGAACATGTTTAGTTTTATGTGAGCCTTATATCATAAATAGAATAGTGTTACGAGATCACATCTCGATTATGTTGAACTTCTAGTATAATATATATCACGTTCTTTTAATGGTTTAAAATTTTAGACCATAAATATTTGTTTTTATTTAGTTTCTTTATCAATGCTAATATTTTCTCCTGTTTATGCGGACAAGTTCTCGTTGCAATGTGTTTTCACTTAAAATATTACGATTTTGTCTTGTTTAACAACTTTACATTTGCGCAAGTGTTGAAGGGGCCAAATAGGTCGATTTCCAGCCTTAGACTTCCCATGATATAAGTTCACTTCAAAAGTTCACGATTCATTGAGTAATCAACCCTCATTGCCTCATGGAAAACTTAAGATTCAGATCTCACTTCCCCAATCATCTACCTGTTATTGCACATTGTTGTCCATAGATGAGATTCTCCCAAAGTAATGATTTGTTATGTTAAAATGAAGTCATGTTGACTTGACACAGCTTACTTGATATATCTTATAGCGTAGGTTGAAAATTAGGGAGGCGAGACACAAGTCAGAAGAACCCTCGTGCTTAATTCACTTCTTCGATGTGAAGAGATTAGATGGGTTTAGATTTATGGCTAGAACTTAGGTTGCATTTTTTACACAGGGTACAATTTTTTAGCATGGTTATGTTTAAAAAAAAAATAGAAAATAAAAAAATTGATTCAAAATTATGCCCCCATTTGGCCCCCATTCTCATTCTCATTCTTTTTCTCTCTTATTTTCAACCACACAATCTTCCATAAAATAATATTACATGCAAATCAAAAAAATTTCACTCTTTTTCAACCATATATTTTTAAAAAAAAGGGTAATTGGCGAAAAACGTCCCTACCTTTAAGTTTCATTGTGGAAAACGTCCTTACCTTTCATTTTTTGGCATTTTTGCCCTCAAATCAACCTTTCGTTGCGGTGAAGGTCCTTCCGTCCAAGTTCCATCCATTTTGCCGTTAATTAAAGAGAGAGAGCCATTTTTTGTCCAGTCAGCAGGGGTAAAACCGTCTCACCCAACAAAACCCCTCATTTTCTTCCTTCTTCACACTTCATAGCCCGAACGGTTTCCTTTGACTCTCTCGCGCTTCTTCAAAAATTCCTATTTATCTTCCATTTCAACAATTATTGCTCCATTCTCCTCTCGTATGGTCGCATACCAGCAGCCGGCATAGTGGAAGCTTGCGTTGGGAGTTTGTCCAGCGAGCGACGTCAGGTAAGAATCATTACTTGTTGTGTATTTTCGTTTTTCATTTCGTATTGTAGTGCTTTGCATGATTAAGTGTACGTGTAGGGTTTTGATAGTGTTTATTGTTGTTACGCAGGTCTTCAAGGAACAACATGTTTCTTCCATATTTAAGAAACCCCGGCGACGAACGACCCAGATATGGTATGTAGTTCATCCCTTATTTTTTGTGTGAACTTCTCTGATTCCAGTATGCATTCACAAAATTTCGGATTGGAATCCCCCAATTTATGTCTGTTTTCTGTCACTCGTATTTCCCTTTGGCATGCATTCGCATCTGTTTTGAAATTTTTTTTTTTTTTTTGTTGTTGTTGTTGAGGTTGAGTTATGTCACTGTCGTCCCTAATTTGTTGGTTGATTTTGATGTAAACTTTATACGATTGCTTACAGGAGGTAGGTCTGAATATTTTACTATCGAAGTACATTATGGGGGCCAATTTTATGATAAGCCAAACAATGTGGTTTATGAAGGGGGATCCGTTCTTTTCGTCGACTTCTTTCATGCTAAATGGTGTAATAGAGAGAATTTGCGTAAATTCTTAGATGGGACTTGTGATGAAAGTGTGTTACAATTTTACTATAAGAAGCAAAAATTGAGCTTAGGGAAGGGGTTGATGAGACTAGAGAGTGAAGAGGATATTAACGGAATGCTTAGGGATAGGGATGGACGTCCAGATGTGAAAATATATGTTGTTGCCCAAAAGCAATTATATGCATTGCCGTGGAATCCTTCACATTCACAAGTTGACGAAGACCAACCATTTGAAGGTTGTTATATCCCTTCAGTTGCTGAAAACGAAGGAAATGTGCCTGAAGATAGTTGGTCAGATAAATATTTTGATGAAAATGCTGACGAGTTGTGGTCACAATACGAGCAAACCTTACAATACCAAAA